TCCATGTCTAGCGATGAACCATTGTGGCTTGATGATAACAGTCATTTCTCCTACGAACATGCAAAACACCACAATAGTGCAAAAACAATACGCAACTCTTAATTATAACAATAACAGACGTAGTTAAGACATATTTTCGTTGAATACTTATTTGAGGGTGGCGATGGGTGTGTGGGGGAGAACATGTGGAAAGGCGAAGGGGGAGGCCTGTAGTAAACGAGGGCGTCTAGACGTATACTGCAGTTACTATATTGTTTGTATTGTGTTCCCATTGTGCCAGGACCGGTAGCTCTTAGCTGATCGCCCGTTAATGAATAACGGCAACTAATTAAGATATTAGTGCGAGGTATAATTGAGGTTAAGACTTTAATGTGCGGTCATTGGATTTAGGAGGAATTATATGTTCTATATACATTATTAGATCACACTCGTAACATTACAGTCGATTTAAAGATTTTAATGAAGAGATCATGAATTTGATTGAGGCAAAAATTTTTGCATTACATCTACATTCTATCATACAATCTACAGATTATCATTCTAATGATAAAAAATATAGTTAGAAATTGTAATATTAAGTCGTAAAACGAAGATACGTTCGGTAAAAAGTGACAAATTGAGTTTAACGATTATCACAGGGTTAGCAATCAACAACAAATTTTATTAGATTACTCCAAAGGTTACAGACAAGTAAATTAAAATTACTACGAATTAAACAAATAAGTATACGACTTATTTTTTATGCAACTTGAATATCAAACAAGCGGACGCTTTATCTGATGATATTATTTTTGTTTTTTTTTTTTAAAGTTGACTGGGAAAGAATACTAAATAGCATTATGACCACCATTTGTACCAAATTTATTTTTTGTTATGTGGTCAATAAAGAATAAATAAAAATAGCAAGCGTGACTTTTATAGAAAGACTTGCTTTTATTACTATTTTAGTAATTATAGGAACTTGCACTCTTGTATAAGAATCTTTGGCTGCGGATTTACACCAAATTGTAGTTGAAATATAGACGGTGGCTTTATAATAATATCAACATAAAATGATAAGGTAAGGCATGGTTATATAGGTCAAAAAATAGACAACCGATACGGAAAATGTAGGACAACGCCGACTGGACGAAAACATTGATCTCATATATGTCGTAAAGAGTCATTAGGTGCAGGTCTCTAGTCTATGAAAGAGAAATACGTCCAGCAAGCGGATTGACCACCGCACTTAGATTTTAGAAATGTTTTAAGAGGGACGCTGCTGCCCATCACTCGCCCTCCCTTAGTCGCTTCTTACGACACCCACGGGAAAGGGAGGGGTGGCCTATTCTATGCCGGGACCACACTGTTCCATATCCATATTTATTTATAACTAAAGACGCAATTGGATAAGTTCTACATAACAAAGATATTAAAGCGGAATATATGCAAGCCACCCACAAGATTTTCCCCACCAATGAAATACCTTTATTAAAGTCAGAAAGCTGTATTATAAACATAAAGTTCGCGGCAACAAAGAATGCTAGCGGAGCATAAAGACGCGTCGGAAATGGATATTGCTCGATGAAAGAAACCTCCGCAATCTGTCCCTTTCTATCCCACTGGGTTGGATGAGATGATGTAATACTTTATGAGACATTAAATGAAGGAGTACTAGGGCACGTGGACTTCATTTGTTGGGGTATTCGAATGTGCGATGTTTGAAAAATACAAGCATAATATTGAATAAAGTATGACTTCAAAAATATGCATAATTTAGTATGTGTAGGTTTACATAGAGACAATTCTCGTTCGGGACAATTTTTAGAGATGATTTCCTTTAATTGGAGCAGACTGGGACTGGTATTTAGAGTTGCTGTTCAGATCTTGTTGAATATGGTTTCCTTGATATATATTACAGAATAGCGTAATTAATCACCTTTACCATAAATTAAAAGTACCATAATTCTATTTGTAAATAGTAAGCATAGATTACTGGCGTCACACGTAATTACTACATTAAAAGTACCTAGAGCGCGTTAGTGAGTTAAAATACTTAACCACCTAGTTCACGGCTGACAATGGACAAGGAATGATCATAATAAATGACAATGAATTGCGCAAAGCCTTTCCTCTTCGGAGTTCGCTTAAGATATAAAACATTTAGCATCATTTCGCTTATTCAGTAAACACACGTACACAGCACAAACGCAAAAATATCACCGAGATGAGGTCGTTGAGGTTATAAAATATTTTATTGCTGGTCGTATAAAAATAATTTTAGCATTGTAGTTTTTGTTCCTTCGACACAAAAAAAACCACTGCCTTCCACTCGTATGACCCTTTATATCTTAATACAAGACAAGCATCCAAAGCTTATTACTCTCACCCGAGGTGGAAAGGTGACACCATGCAAGACTCTATTAAGAATTTAAAGTGTTGCTATATGCAAAGATCCGTTTTATATATGAGATTGATAATTTAGGATAGGATGCGCGCGGTTTATCTCGCTAGATTATCACTTCCATGATATTAAGCCTTATAATTTGAACATCTTGACTATAGTAATTTCGCCGTTGTATTCGAACGAGCCCTGCTTAGTTTAAGACTACGTTGAATGTGTATCACGTGTAGTATGTACAGAATAATTTTAATTAGCCATTTTTACACGAATGCAAATTAGGATATACAGTACAAATACGAACACAAACCTTCTGCAAAGAGAAAAATATCCAAACGACTGTAAAAATTGAATAAAAATCCGTTGCGTGGTTTAAAAGAAGCATGTGGAGAAACAGACGAGAACAGCGACTTTGTTTTATATTATTTAGAGAAGACAGCTGACGCTGACTAATAATCTAATCGTAAACTGAACCAGATTACATGAAACTAAATCCAGAACACAAATATACGTTCGTTGAATGCGTTGATTAATATCATAGTTATAATAATTAAAACGAGTTTTAATAACATTATTACATTCTCATGCGAATGGCTGTAATTTCGTCGCCATAAACTGAACAAAAGCAGGTTTTATCAAACAAGAAGTAACTGTTCATTATGCAGCCATTATCCCGGGCTCGTAGTTGCGATGCTAGTGGAGAGTGGATGTGGAAGACTATATTGTGTTGAAATGGGTACGGTTGGTAAAAAAAATTGTACGCTATTCAATCCTACATTTTTGCATTGTTATTCAAAACTGGACGTGGACAGTTAACAGCCGATGATGATGATTCTAAATTGTTAACAATTGCTATTCTTGCTATTTATTTTTTTATAACACTGAGGTGGTAAACAAGCTTACGGCACACCTGATAGTAAGCGGTTACCGTAGCTTATGAACTATAGTTAGCTAGCTGCAGTTAATATACTAATCTACGTTATACACTTTTGATCTAACTAAAAACAAAGTGCAACTATAGATAAAACGTGAATAAAATGTTGGTATTTTCCATTACCGTGGTTTCTCGACTGAAAAAATGAGGATAATATGTTTCAAATGTATTTACATATGTATAGAGAACATCCTATATATTTTCGTTTACATTTTGATTCTTCATTTAGTACCCGCTTAAAAACTACACATACAACAGGTATGTACGACAAAATACATATTTTACTTGAAAACTACAGTATGTCTTGGATATGTATAAGAATTTCTAGATTTAGACAAAATCTATTGTTAAGTATACCAGAAGAGTAGTCAAAGTACTTCTGACTATACCAAGTAAGATTGCTGTCGAGAACATAATTATTTTACAATTTCATCATCAGCTCATTCACATCAGCTGTTAACTGTCCACTGCTGTATATATGCCTACCCCATAAACTGCTATAAGGAACGGTCCCGAGTCAACTGTATCCATTGACTCCCTACAATGTATTTGAGGTCGTCGCTTCATCGTCATCTTATTTATTATTTCAAAATTAATTAATCTTGCAACAAGAACATATTTTACATTTAAAAGACTTTATTTTCTAAGATCAAGAATTTTTTAAATTTAATTAATTTCTGTATCTCTCACCGGGATTAAGGGCTGATAAATAACTTTACATCTGTCAATGTGCCAAGTAGACAGCCAACGAAATGTCAACAAGAATTCCGTTTTATAGATATGAAACCATAATAACGAGGCTACGCCATGACAATAAATATACAGGTAGAACCGCCATTCCTGTTACATTTATAATAATAACCAGGGTACACTGACAAATCGCGTTCTAATAAGAACTAAGTCAGTCAGGGCTTGCAATTGTAAGCAACAGGATACTGTACTGAAAGCTTGCCTCTAGCTAACATGCACGCATTTCGCGAGAATTGCACCATATTTTAAAATTTATTGTTGAATAAAAAAAAATACATTTGTGACAACACTGACGAGCTTCCGAACCTATGTAGAGTCTGAAAATTAATTTCGATACTCCGTATCCATAAACCAAAGTATTTGTATGAATAAAGATGTTATTTTTATGAATGATCGAGACTATGCTAGCGGTATATAATGGTAGGACACCAGCGGAGGTTGAAAAATATAGGATGAAGTCATTCGTAACCAATTCACTAGGATTTAACTACGATGGGCTCCAGGAGAATCACAATGGATTCTGGGAGGACCACAAAAGACAGAGAATATTGTTAACAAGACTACGGAAAAGGTTATAGTTTCTTTTACTAATTTTTCCCCAAAGGAATGTATATGAATTTCACTTCCACCCAGTCTATAAATTCTTATTGCTGTGGGCAACCACTCGTCCCCCTAATGCTCACTAGTAGGGGGGGGGGGGGGGGAGTTTAATTACACTTGTTTATGCGCATATGTACCGGCGAAGTGGGTCGCGTGTGCACCGAGTTCCGATAAGCCGGACGGTTTCGAACAGTCATTGTTGTTACTCCGTGCCCATTGTTAGTGGGGACTTTTTGAAAGAGTCGTGTTACATCGAAGCTGATTGTTGTTACGATGACACATAAAAGCAACTGAGTATTTATTCATAATATTACTGTAATACACTTGCAGTACCACCCAAGCTTCAAATAGAGGACAATCTGCGTATGCGGTGTACAGGCCGGATTTATCTGCTTTCTATTTGTCTTCATAATATATACAAGTAAATATTAGATTAAGGCAAAAACTGGGTTATTCCTTCGATTATTTCTTATATAAGGAAGTACTTCTCCTTATATAAGAAATAGTTAACTTATTTCTTATATAATGTCATCAATTTTAGAATCAGCCAGCATTAAATATTATTTACCTCTTGCTTATGAAAATATAAAATCAACGTATCCTCCAAGCATTAATGAAAATATCTTTAAAATCGGTCATTTATGCTACCTAGAGGATTTTTTACATTTTCCATCTACTCACTGTAGCTACATAGGTATCTTTTAATGGTTTGCCTCCAGCTAGACAGATTAGACTTCGAGCGGCGTTACGAAAAGTAATGGCGAATAGCTAGGGTTACCTATCAGGCGCAACTGCTACACGATTTAAGCATGTAAATTTTTAAAAAGAGTGTCACATATTTATTTTGATAGTCGAAACTGTCTCGGTAAAAATTTGTTTATATATTGATATTATTAAAAAAAATCTATCAACTGACTGTACAGGAAAAAACTAATGAAAATTAACTTTTAAAAATGTCTTAAACGATGAAACATGACTGGTATTCATTATAACAACTTGTTTTTGGAAAAGTAAAAGTGTTTTTCTAATAATATCAAAATATATTTTATTTAACAGAATCCTTATTCGCCCCTTTACAATATTTAACATCTTTTTGAAAAACCCATGTAGGGTTATTAAAAAATTAGAATACGGCAAATAAATGGGTTGTATGCCTGTTAGTGTATTTGTCCACTGTATTTATACAAAAAAAAAAAACAAGTATATTTTATATTTGATGCGTGCACATAATATACGCAAAATAATATTTTTATAAAAATGAGACCAAAGATTTTTCGTTCCACACGCGCCAACCCTGTATCTTAGCCAATAAGGAACGAGCATTACCGTTGAGCAAATATGATTCCGTGTTTCCTAACACGAAAATAGTTGTGATGTAAACACAAACGACAACCACCATAAACCGCTATTCGGTAAGTAAATATTTAACAACTCTTCGTATAATTTGGCAGCAATTTTCCACACGTAACGTAGGTACATAAGTGTAATTACGAATGTCAAAGCGTAAACAAGCGCGTGGCCTCGAACTGGCTGACATTGGCACAGCCAGAAGTGCATGGCCCGTCGCGTTGCGTATAGGGCTGCCAGAGGTGTTTTTTTTTATTTCTTTCTAATAATATTGAAAACATATTGAAAAGTACATTTAAATAGAAAAACGATTATAAATTATTTCAGTTTCATAATTATATTATTGTATGGTTATTATCATATCGGTATTTTTTTCTTTCTCAGAGGGATCGAATCCGAAATAAAATTAATACACTACATAACTACTAACATATTTCAACAAATTTCCAAGCATAAGTAGCAATGAATTGGTTATAACTGCAGTTGAGCCGACAAATGTTGGAGTAAACGTATTCTAGGGTGGAGGAGTTTGCGAATCAGCAAGCGTCATGAGGAACGAACTGTGACCTCTTAATGGGTGATAATGGACTAGATCCAAATGTGCCGCTGGTATTATAAATACACATATTTCTGTTTAACACAACACGGTTTCAGGCGATAATGCCATTGATTATAACTGCTATAAGATAAAGGCAACGAGGAGAGTATTTTTTTTTATTTAGATAAAAGGGAATAACGCCTTAACAATATTATAATATCAATTTTGTACGTCGTCATTTTGTGACATTTTGTGACTAAACCCACCAAGTGGGAGGCCTATGTTCAGCAGTGGACCGTTAAGAGCTGATATGATGATTATGATGAAGACGTCAAAATTGTGTATGAAATAGAAAATATTTCATTTAAAAATATAAAAACAAAAAAAAATATACATACATACATAACAACCGACTTATTATTAACAAAGTCTAAAACGTTTTATGATTCCGAATTAAAAAGACTACAGAAGTCGTGACTGTCAATTGCTAGAAACAAAATTAACATAACGAGGAAGTCTCTAAATGCGACTCTCGAAATTTGGCTACCTCATACGTTTGTTAAAATAATAATAAAAAATTAAATTATAAATACCGACAGAGTGGCGGCTCTATGTCGAGATGATAGAAACCGCAACGCTCCATCGACAACAATAGCGAGGAAATACCACAACAATATTGAAGGTTACACGACATCTGCGAGTGCAGCTCTATACATGAGTAAGTATTTGCTTATTGTATCATTCAAATCAAATTACTTTATCTTACTATTATAATAAAATTGTAAATATACGTTGTCTATACATGGGGAGATATTTACGGAAAATTGATATATAGCGACTTAATAAGAGCAACAGAAGCCAAAACAAATACATTTTTAAAAATGTCGTCTGTTTAACGGTATGTTTGTTCCGACATCACGCAAAATCTGCTGCACGAAATGTTTATGAGAT